ATAAATATTTTGACTGTATCTCAGAAGGGACTTAAGCACATCCATTGTTGCAGCCCCGACTTGGATTTCTTAATGCGTCTTTATACAAACAAGATGAAGCCATGAGATAAATTCCGAAAGCGAGCAAACAAAAACATAACTGGACAATGACATAGTGTTCTCATGATAACACTATCAAACATCAAGCTCCTTATCTTCTCTCTCTTCATCCGGGCATGAAGAATCTGCCTGTATCTTCTACTTTCTGCAACAAAAGTGTGGCATGTTCCTACACTGCTGCTCTAGGTAACTCTCATACCTCAGTCTGATGAGCGTGGTATGAATAGAGGTATGAGCACTATCTTGTTATGAACCCTGAGCATCTGAACGAAAGCAACACAGGGATGAAAGTATACAGAAACACGCCACAGTTTATGGTGTAGACTGCAGTTGTCCCCTTGCACAGGCATGTTGTGTTTAAATCTTCCTTGCAGACAAATACATTCTAGCATTACATTGATCCCTCTGACCTTTTAAGCTCTCACCTGGATGTCACTAACACTTTCGCTGGGAGTTCTTCCTCTCTGACAGGATAAATGCTTTTTAACATGCAATATCTTCATTGCTTTTCCCCCTTGTGTTTAACTTTATTTGATAATGTGCTGCAATTTGTTTTGTTTTGGCTTTTTGAAGATTCATTTGATTACAAATAGATGTTGGCTCATGATTTGTTGTCCTTTGAAGCAAAGGTTTTGATAAAAGATCACAGCAATAATTATATTATCTGTATTTGAGCTGGAATTTCCTATTGGACATGAAACCATTTCAGTTCTTTAAACACAAACATATGTCATACACGTACTGAACCAGTATTTTTGATTTTATAAGAAAGGCCACCTAATTGTGACGTCTGTAGTCAACCCACTATAAAGGACTACAATTCCTGCGCTAAAGCCACAGTGATGGGCAACCTGTTTGAGAGACGCCGTCGAGGAACAGTTTTTAACCGTACTACATGTACACATACACCCTTTAAGTTATGAAGTTATATAAGCATTATTAAAAAAGAAAGAATACCTAAGTTGTTTATTATTTTATTTGAGTTTTGCTTATTTCTTTTGAATATTGTAAAGGCCTATTTTCTTTGTTGCATGTGCAAAAGTGTGTTGTTTTATTTTGAGCAAGCACATCGTAACATCATCTGGACCATCGGAGGCCAAGCAACTCTTCAAACTGTGAGTCATTTTAAGGAAAGAAAACGAGTTAGAACTGTCTGTTTAAGGCGTCTAGTGGCTTGATGGAAAGACAATGAAGGAAGCCACGACACGTATATTGGGGGGATTTAAGTGGATTTGTTTCCTTGTTGTGTAACCCACGTTCTGCTGGAATGTGTATTTTATTTATAGGTCTTCAACACCTTCGATGTAATAAGAGGGCTTCACCGTGAGTGGCGCTGTGCTTATTCTCGCGATATTACCCTACAGGAAGACACGAAGAAGGCGAAGGTCAGGAATTAAACATGGCAGCCCGCAGTATGTTGAGGTCTGTCTGGACCTCTTTTGCGGGCTTGAAATTAGGTGCCACAGGCAGCAATGTGATTTTCCAACAGGGGACACATGTTCCCCAGCTATCGGCTATAACCATTCAGAGCCGAGGCCTCCGTGAAGGTGAGACTAACCTGCAAATGTGTGGATGTTAGCCCACCAATGCTAAAGGAGCTAATGTTAGCTGGCATGGTAACGTGAAGACACTGACAGGCATTTCAGCAGCTGCTTTATCTTTAGTTTATACATTTGTTTTATTTATCTTTTATAGACATCTATAACTGTGGTGGAAGAAGTATTCAGATGATTTGCTTGAGTAAAAGTACAAATACATGAATGATAAAATCCTCCATTACGAGTACAAGTAAAAGACCTGCATGCAATATATTTTTTATAAAATGACATTGTTATCAACAACATTTACTTAAAATATAAAAAGAAATATAGTTATTCTGCCGAAAAATTCTCTAATAATAAATTTGTGCTTTATTATTATTTGTATTTAAAGGACATTATTAGATAATGTTGTTATAATAGCTACCATCAAGTAGCATTTTACTATTGTAGATAGACACAATTCTAATATATAAAAGTATTAACTTTATTATATATGTTGAATAATTCTACTTTTTTACACCTTAAGTAGTTTATTTTTTAGAGATGCATTATGTTAAAAGTTCTGAGAAGTAGCTAAATGTTAAATGAATGGAGTGCAGTAAAAGTACAATATTTACCTATGAGTAATAGAAGTGTTAGTAACATTAATTGCAGTACTTCAAAATCTTACTTAAGTAAAATACTTGAGTAAATGTACTTGGTTACTTTCCACCACTGGTGTACAACACAGGAAATAGTCTCTTATTGCAAATGCTAAAATATGAATGAATTCAACCTATGAATCCATAGAGGCAGTCTTCCTCTTGAAATCTTTAAATGTATTGATTTAAAAACATGTCTATGACAAAGGGGAACGAGTCACAATAGAATACACATACATGTTGATGATATAAGAAATACTAAATGTCTATATACATATGTATGTGTGTATAACAGTATATATTTACATTTACTGGCTGTTGAAATCTTCTTTTAACTGATGCATTTATCACTGAAAAGCTGACAATGTATTCTAAAGATTTGGAAGGCAGTAAAACATTGTTCAATTTACGTTTCAGATCAGAAGCCTAAAATCCTTTCATGTTTGTCTTTCAGTGGTGGAGAAGCAGGAGGGTAAAACCACAATAGTAAGTACAACCAAACTGATGATAAACTTAATAAGATGTTATTTGCTGTTTACTTCAACAGTTTTCACTGAGAGGCTCACAATGTTTGGACGTTAGGAGCCCTAAATCCTGATAGTTTGGACTTGTATTATTCCAGGTTATTTACTAAAACAAAAAATTAAAAGCCATAAAGATAATGCTGGTGCTTTGCTATAGTAGCGATATAGATGACAGCAACGCTATTGCTACTTCCAGCCAAAAGTACGGCCCTGCCCACTTTCCGGGGGAAATGAGGCATTAGAGTGAAGCAGAAAACAATAGTTTCTTCACGCCTAAAAGCTGCCGTGTCGTATATTGCACCTCAAACAACAAATACATCTTGAGTTACTGTTTCTTTACTTCCTCTACAAAAAAAGAAACTATCCAATTCAGTAATCATAGTTTTGGTGTAAGCCTGCTGCCTGCTACTCATTCACTAGCAGACTGACCGGTCATCCATTCCCTACTGATTTAAATGTAACCATACCTCGTCGCCGATCTCCAATAACATTGTAGTCTGATCATCATAACTGGGCTCCTCGTAAATAAAAAAAGGCGCGGTTTTATTAATTGTGATTTCCGAAAACTTCAGTATCTGTATTTACCTCCATTCAAATGACAGCAAGTATTTTCTCCCAAAAGGGGGCGTGGTCTTGCGTAGAGGGCAAGTACCAGGATGCGTTGCTACAGCACATCTATATTTTGGTCAACCTAACAAGAAACGTACCCTAACAAATGATTGCACTTGGACAGATTGAGGGACACATACTGAACACTCCAGAGGCTCCAGAGCCTCCTAACCCTGAAGCCAAATGTCCGATCTACAGATGGAACTTGCAGCACAAATACAACTACACGGTAAGTGCGTACACGGTAGTAACCACATGATCTCAGACATTATGAAAAGTCTTTCAGTGGTTTATTGTTTGTGGTTGTTTTTCCCCCTCTCCAGGATGTCCTGCTGCTCAGTCAGTTCATCAGGCCGGATGGAGGCTTGTTGCCCAGGAGAATCACCGGCCTCTGTCTGGAGGAACATCGCAAGATCGCCATCTGTGTTCAGATGGCTCACAGAGCAGGTCAGTGTTTGTGGTTTTGAATCTTTGTTCCATACAAAGTCAAATGTCTTCATTCTCTGATACTTGGTACCTTAGGTGACACAATTGTAATGATTGCAGTGTATAACCTGACACTGACAAGATGGTAAGAAGCCAAAAATCTCTAAACTAAATATTATTTGTTGGTTGTTTATTACATTGTTAAGTATTCAAGCTGAACCGTTTTGTCCATCTTGATGGTAGATATTATTACTATTTCCATTGCTTTCATAATAATAATGTAATATTGCATCGATATTGGGATTATAGGAATAGATATTGTCTAATATTTTGGGTATAATATTGAAAGTGTGGTTTTTTTCCTGGTTTAAAGGCTTTACTACCGGACAGTGATGTAATTTTCTGAAGCCACCACACTTTTTCTCTTATTTGCCTGTACCCAATTTATATCCACAATACTGGTTATTATTTATTTAAATGTTCTCAAAATACAAATAAGTATAAAAAACGTGGCTTTTTCCCCCCCCTAACTTTCCACTCCAGGTCTGCTTCCTGACCACAAACCAGAACCTCCAGCGAACCAGATCAATAAGAAGCCCAAGCAACAACTGAACAGGTAACGTACACCTCTGTGTCTGCTTATATATGTGTTCCTCATCAATATCTATCCAGCAGCAGCACCAGTGAAACTAAAACTACCAATGTTTCTTTGTTGTACAGATACCTGACTTGCTATTCCACTGACTCAGTGAAACCCATTTATAAAACTGGACTAAAGTGGTGTAAAAGGCGCATGGCTGTCGGCAGCCCATTACTCAAGTACAACGTGGGTTACGGTGTCAAGCACATAAATATCAAACACTGAAGGACAGGAAGCCTGACCAATCCGTGCAGCAACTGGACGAAAGTGGGCGGGAGTTCCGAGTAGATCTTGCCTCGGGAATAAGGCCTAAAAGCTTCATCCATCTGTATTTATTCTAGATTTTGTTTATTAAGCTGCGTCACTCTTTTAAATGAAGTGTCCTCAGCCTCACCCAGAACCATCTTTTCTGTTTCTGCTTGTTTTCGAAAAAGCCCTCGAAGTGAACTCTCTGACAACTTTATGTGAGCAACAACTGGGTCAGTGTCACAGCTTCAAAGTAGGTGGTATTCTCACTGTGTATATTCAAATGTGCAAATAAAATGTGTGATTACTCGGCCTCTCAACCTGTGTTTACTGTATAGAAACAGCTAGCAACTAAACAGAACCAAAAGCTTGCAGACACAAACTGCATGACTGGGCTTTCTTGAGTTTATTTGTTTAAAGGTAGAAGCAACAAAATGTCTGGAACTGGAATAATTAACTTAAAATACAATTTGTGAAATGTGAACGACAGAAGTGGAGAATTTGTAAATATGTGTAAGATCTTTTTATAGCATGAAGGGAAGGTCCAGATTCTTCCTGCCATCACCGATATAGATGTGTCCGTGCTGCGGGGTCGTTGGCAGATGGAAGAAGGTCAGGCCGGGCCAAAGCAGGCTGCGCAGCACCAGCACTCTGCTGGCACATTCCAGCTGGAGACTCCACGACCCTGCACACAAAGAACACTCCAGGTAAAGACTGACAATAACTTCCACGTCATTTTGAGCACGATTGAAATAGAGGCTACTTTGATCTTTGGAAATCAGAACAAGAAGATTACACTATCCACGTTCTTGAGGCGAGGGATACTCAATAAATCTGTGCTTTTTGATATCTGCCGTCCCTCACCTGTTTCTCAGCACACTGGAAAAAATGCTGCTCCAAAAACAAGTTAAACAATAATAAAAACAAGCTGAAATAAGTACAAAAATCTGCCAATAGAACAAGTGAAAATTAGCTTGGTAAGATGTATTTAAATAAGATGGGATATTTCGATAAATCAGATCTTGCAATTAGCTGGGAGAACTCATTTTGAACTATATTTGACCAGAATCAGGAAATGCAGTGTTGCCGCAAATGCTCAAAGTTTTCTGATGTTAGTCTGTGATTTTCTAATAAATATGTAAAAAGAATGTGTTTCTCCTGAGATACAACTCAAAATAAGATTGTTTTACTTAACAAGATGATGCATTGTCTAAAAACAAGACCAGATATCCCACTGCAGTGTTACTTCTGAAGTTATGATGTCTCATGGTGCAAAGACATATTCTGACTAGATATTAGACAAATATACTTGGCAAGATTTCGAGTTTTTGTATTGTATGTCTAGGTGTGATTATGAACCCAACAGCTCAGGAAATGGAGAACAAGTGCAGCATCTGCTTTGGTGTGAAAGCTCTTTGATTAATGCTTTCACACCAAGGGATAGGATTTCCAGAAATAATTGTTTTAACACTTTTTTTTTTTCTTTTTTTTTTAAATGTATCATGAATCGACTAGAAATAAAAACATGTTGAGCCTTCAGGATGTAACTTCAAAGATGAATTGTAGAAAAAAGAATCCATGGGAGAGGTGTAATATATGGATTTTTTTTTTCTTATAAATGTCTGACTTTAAACCTAGTTTTTCTTGCAAATGTATGACTTTATAATCTAAGAACATATACAACGTTTGTTCCTAGTAAAATAAAAAGTTTAATCTTCCAAATTCAGATGTTATTTTCTCTAAATATGACCCCTTTCCCATCTCTCTGAATTGATATGTTGTACCTATGATGGCACTGATACACCGTCTTAAATAACTGTACGGCTGCAGGTGGTGAAACCAAAAGCCACACATCAAGAGCTGGGAACGGTTTTCTTCATTGTTGTGGAAAAAAGAGGGGAATCCCAACCTAAGGTCTCAGAGGAAAGCACCTGTCTTTCAGTGGAGATGTATCATACCTCATTTTCCCCAGAGCCCCGTTTAAAAAAAGTAAAATCTTTCTGCATGCGATCTGCCGTACAGAACGCTGCAGTGAGTGTGGCATTGAGACAGCTGTGTAATGTCTGCTGTAGCGATGACACCGCTGACATCCGCATCAACTCAAAGAACACACACAAACATAAACACATGTGGAAGCTCTCCTAAATCAGACATCTGTTGCATGTTTGGTCACGGGGCACTAAACATTTTTTCTTTCACACACATCCACTTTACTCTACATCCACTCTATCAACATTCACTATGGCCTGGAGCACATCCAGCTCAGCGTCTAATCTCCAAACTTCGACACGGCTAAATTCATTCAAAAATCTTCCCTTTTACGGCATCCATTTACAGGCTTTTCACAATATCCATGTTTGCTTTTTGCTTGCTTCCTAACTTTGATTTGTTTCCACATATGTATTACAGTTCAACAGCTCAAAGGTCTGAGCTTCCCATGACGATTTACAACAGAAACCTGAAAGACTCATAATTTTTGTTATGCTTTCAACTACACCAAAATGTACCCATCTCAATGAAGCAAGGCTCTGCATGTTCGTTGTCATACTTTTTTGAGTCTAAAACAATGAAAATGGCGTGCTTTGGATACCAATTGGAAGCGATTATTTCTCCTGAATTGGCTAAAAGAGGGGTATTATTACTTGAATTGTTGAGGTTACAGATGTAAGCTTTCCCATCAATCATGTTTCAGTTTGGTTTCAGGTGGAGCTCTTCCCATGAACTGGTTTGTGTTCAGTTAGTAATTATTTCATTTTCCTATGAAAAACCGATGCCAGGCTCAAAGTAGGTGGGCCAACATATTTTCTTACCAACCACTATACTAGCCATCTGGTTATCAGATGTCTGTATTAAAAAATCTTCCAACATATTCCCAGAAAGCTTAATCCATGTGGCCGTTGGTTATCCTCAGAATGTATTTGATCAGTTTAACAGTGACTGACTGTTTTCCTGTGAAAATGACTCAATTTTCTCTGGTAAGAAACGTCTCTGGACTTTCAGTCAGTTGAATCATCGAAGGGATTTTTGCTCAAACCACTTGTCCTTCAGTTGTAATGTAGCATAAGAGTTGGAACTCATTGTTTTACCACTGGCTTTCTAAAGGCCTCAGTAAAACTTACTCATGCTTAAAACAGCTGCGTGTTAATGGGTCCAGATCATGAGATTACCTTTATTCCACTCAGTCATTTCCTTTATAAACATCTTAATGCTCAGTGATCATGTGATGAAAAAATACCTTCACCTTTAGGAATGTCGTCACTCAGCACATCCATGAAGTCGATGGCTGGGTTTAATTCGCCCATTTCCAGGATGGATTTCTTCTTCAGATTCTTGGCTTTGCTGAAGTGGAGGAAGTTGTCCAGCTTCCCAGCTTCTGAGTGAGAAAGACCTGAGGACGCAAGTAATTGAAAAGGGAGAAATTATGATGGAATTTTACAGTGAAATGTTGTCTGAATATACATTTGTTTAAAAAAGCAGGCCTATCAGAACTCAAAGTATTGTGAAATATGTTCTAAAATGGTGTTTATCTTATGCATCCAGTTAAAAATAAATGAAACACCTCAGAGTCTGCGACATGCAGCATCCATCAAACATTAATGTTCCACGATGAGAGCGACACATGCCATGTCTAAGACTAATACATATTCACCACCAAAGCTGCGGTTGATCTGGACGAGGCCATGAGGACTCTTGAGGTAGGCGCCACGCGGAGCCACAGATGCTTCCTCATCGATCCGGTGAACCGTGACAGCCAGCCTGCTCTCCTCATTCACTTTGGTCTGAAACCCAAAACTACATCATAAAGCTGGATTTTGAGACTGTACCGATATCGTTGATATCAGCCAGAAAAAGAAAATGACTGAAAATAGGAAGCTCTGTGAGATTAAATTCTCTTTCCCACTAATTCTTCATTGATTACAATAGTACTTTGTTGCAGAGATGGCTGGCTGGAGATATTGCGCGCCTGAATATATACAGTATGTTGGTAGAGGTAGGACATTGTCTCTTCTGCATTGTCATCTTTTGTTGTATAGTTCATGTTGGTGCCACATGGCTTTAGGTATAGTGTTACTGCAATATGTTGTGTTGAATAGTTTTTCTTTGGATTACAGTTTTGGCTGGGCAATATGAAGGAAATTACAATATTTTTGACCAAATACCTCAATATATATATATGTGACAATATTATAGGGTTGACCATTAATGCCTTCAAAAAATGTTCACATTATGAGCAATGTGATAAATAATCATTAGTACTGTGAATGATTGACTAAGTGAGAAAGGGCAGATAATAAACCTCTTTAATGTCTGGTCGGTTCAGAAAATAACACAACTTTACTTTATTGTAGCCTTTAAAACCAGAAAAAGACACTTACATTATTAGGGTATCCATTACCCTAACGATAAAGACAATATCGTATCATTGTTATTGATAGTATACAATATTGCCCAGCACTAATAACAGTCAATTAATGGAATTATGTTTATGAAACGACTAATATTACAATTAACACTTGATCTTGAAGTTCAGTTTACGGCTCAATATTTGTACTATGTTCAATGTACAACTTCACAGTATTGATCACAATTGTCTTAATTGACACACTCACCACCACCTCCTCCTCCTGTATAGCATCATCCCTCCCTCCTGGCCTGTGGATCTCAACATGCTCATACACATATGAGGGGTCTCCTACGAAGCGACCCTTAGCCGTTTTGGACACCTCCTCGATCACAGAGTCTGTGGCGGGGGCGAGCAGCATCCAGTCCATGCAGTTGAAGCTGGAGGACAAAGCACCAACAGGTACATTACATTGTCAACGGTAGATATAAAGTACTCCTGCCACAATGGAACACATACCCACGGTTATCTTACCTATAAAGAGTCTTTTTATCCTTCATCTCATCTTCTCCTCTCCCCTGAGCGATGAAGTAATCCTCCTTTAATCCCAATATTTTGCCCCAAAACAAGACTCGATGGAACTTGTAGTTTTTCTTCAGGATGACCAGGGAAGTCTGCAAAGCGGTTCTTTGCTCAACGTTTAAAGTATTTCCGCTACCGGCGACCAGTTCCAAAGAATAGAACAACGAATTTGAGTCCATTTTTTATAAAAATAAACCACGTTATATCGCATATATTAGTTACCTTGACGTGTTATGGTGTTGTAAACTCCTTGCTAGCTAACATAACAGCTAACCTTAGTATGAAGGTCCGAGCGCTAGGGTTTGGTTGCTAATGTCAACAAAGCTTGTTGCTCTGGTTGTCACAGCAACGCCTCAGTTTTCATGTGCGTGGTCTCTCCGTTTTCTTTTTGCAAATAACCTTTTTAGAGTGTTAAAATAACAGTGTAAAGAGAATCAAAACGTTTTTGTTAACGTTTCGCGTGTTTTTGGTTACAGTGTTTATACAAACCAGACCGTGCGCACGTTTAGGCTGACGTCATGCCCCGACTTTTGAAGTGAGTGTGTTTAATGAGTCCCAGGAAGGCACTCGGGGCTAGCTACCAAACAATATATGGCTGTATATGTTTCATTTGTCGCTAAGTGATAAAGTAATGGAAGCGTCCTGTTACATCCCACACAGTAGGCTACTAAAAAACATACTAAAAACTCTTGATGCAGAGGTATACTTACTAACACCCATTATTCGTTTCATGTAGTAGTTTGTACATTCACTCAAGCCTACTTATAGGCCTATATACTCAACTACAGCTTTCTGAGAGCTTTACTAACTTTTAAAATTACAGTCTTTTACCAATGTTATGTTTATGATGAACTATAGGAAGCCATCCTTAATATGTTGAAAGCATCCTTTTTAAATAAGCTGGAAAATGCATCGTCCCAAAGTTGAAAAGGAAACTTTTAAGACTATCTTACAGTTAATAAAGCATTTAATATTGTGCATTCATTAAAACATCACTGAAATGCAACAAGGCCCACACATTAATGAGGCAGTAATACATTATCCAAAAATATCATATAGTAAAAACAGTTAAATGGAAAATGTTACTGCACGAGTGCTTTTACTTTACTATTTTTCTGATAAAACTAGTACTTAAGTAAGGTTTTGATTGCAGAACTTTTACTTTTTGTTGACAGGGTGGTAATAGTACTTGTGGGCTCTGTGTGCAGGCTTCATACACTGTCTTTCACCCATGAAGCCCAAAGAAGGGGAGGCATGCAGAGGAAAAAAGGGAGGGGTGGCAGTTTTGTGTCTTGAAGACAGAATCGGTTAAGCTCTTTGCACAGCTGGCAGGATGCATGCTTAGATCCCTCTAACATGACTGTGTGGCATGTGGGAACAAGAGCGAGTCTCAGTAATGACCTTTGAACCGAAAATCGCCGTTTGGTGGTCTGCATTGGGATTGCAAAACAGCATGTTGCCGTTAACCCAAACAGGGAACAAATACATGTGTAATTAGAGATTAATATAGTGGAGCTAAATCTGTAAAGTTCTCCCAAGGTAACCTACTGCCTCGCAAAATGACCCCGAAGCACACGGCCGGCTGTCATCCTTTGGGCTTACTAGAATGTAGCGCCGGGAAGTGAGAGGAGAATGGCACAGTGTGTGTTTCGTTCTAGCGTTGAGGCTATAGATGTGATTTCGCTGCAATGTAAACAGCTGAAACAAATCCAGCATAGGAGAGAAAGGAGAAGGAGAGATTTTCATTTTGTTTAATCTTTGTTCATACATTTGCCAGTATTTTATTAATTTCCCATGCAGTCAAAAGCTTTCTTTATTTACATGTCATATCTGATACATCAGCTGTCTACAAATAATATATTTCAATACATATGTGACTTTATTGTAAGAATTGGACCACCATCATGATCATCCGCTACCCTTGTAGTATTCCACCAAAGAGTTTTCCTCTTCCTCATGCTTCATGCTCTTAAGCCGATCTCTTCTTATTAAAACTTGCTTTACTCATAGTGGTGATGTAACTTCCTGAACCCCGTGGTATATATGCAAGGACAGACTGAGTAGTACTAAAATCACTGGTTCCTCTGTTTAGAAGACACTGAACCGACAAGGGTTGTGCGGTTTATCCTGGCTGGGATCCAGCAGCCCCAGCCAGTGTACGCTGTGTGAAGCTGGCTTCAGTTACACTTAGAAAAACATGATTGGCTACTGTCCAGCAAATGATTGTGGATAGTGCTAGTGTTGGGCTAATCTTGTGGTTAGTGATTCTATTTTGGTCTCCCACCTTGATTGACAATCTTGGCTTCGACTTCAATTGTCTGTGAGTTTCTGAGTTTGACAGAACACATTGAAAAACATGGCTGTCTTGTAATTCATGCTAGTTGTTAGTTTTATAAATCATATCTTAATACTCATTTCCTAACCACTTAAAGTCAAGATTAAATGATCTCAAACCCTATTTTTGATACTATTTAGCTTTTCTACAATTATGCGAAATAACATGTCTTTTAAAGCTTTGGTTTTTTACTTTCTGGGTTCACCAGTGAAATTGTTTTCCCACGCACATGTGACTCACAGGATAATAGGCATGCATATCCAGCATCACTGATATTGGCCTTCTCTGTTTACTGCTCATTCACCTCACATTCTATCAGAGCTGCATAAAGTGGCTGCAAATCCATCATTTCCATTTCCTACTGCCGTTGCATCCGACCAGCCAATTCAATGTGAAGCGTGCATTGTTTCCTATGAATAACTTAGGCGTTTGAAGGCAATTTTAATCCAGCTTGGGAATGGCGGTCTCGCCCACCAACAATGAGAACTACTGTCCAAAAAGGTCATTACAGAATGCAAATACATTGAATGGGAAGTGTTGAGACAAAAATCGAATAAATTATATATCATATAATTGTATTTGATGAAGATCTTAAGAGTTGTGACTTTAAAAACCCAATACAGGCGGTTTCTCTGGAGAACAGAAGCTGGTTTTAATAATTCCAATTCCCATGCTTGCCATTTCCCATGCTACACTGCTATTCCCGGGCTCTGTGTGTTGGCTGTGATTGTCCAAACAAAAGGACCTCGGTCTGGAGTCACATGCTTCATCAGCAGCGGTGATTTCAGCTGTCTGGCCCTCCGCCCTTCTGGCTAATGTAGTCCACCAACAGAAAAGCGAGAGGAGAGTGGGGTGACTTTTCTACAGAGTGTCCCACACAGAAGAGTACACACAAGGACAGCCCCTTCACCAACCCACCCACTTACTCACACACACAGACAAACACACTTTAAGCTTGTGGCTCAGGATGTCACCTCATTAGAGTTGGCATCTAAGGTGGAAGTTTTGGAGTTGGAAGCCACAGAGTGACCCGAACCGACACACCACTCCAGTTCTGTTCCCCAATTGGCCGGGGAAGGAAGCAATACTGGGACTGAACGGCCTGTTTCTGTCCCGGTCCCACTGCCTTGGGAAACTCACCTCCCAGGCGACCAGCGTTGCCATGGCACTAATCCTGACGGACAAAAGATGGGAGTGCCACGGAGCATGATGCTGCCAGACACTCTGATTGGCTGGCACCATCCCACGCGATGCTGTGATTGGCCGGTGCTATGTTTATATACAAATTGGAGCAGTCAGAGGTCACATCCATCGATCTTGGTGGTGACATGAAGGAAACCTGACCTCAAAAACCTCAGAACTCTAAAATGGGGTTTAATTCCTTTTTGACACACACACACACACACACACACACACACACACACACACACACACACACACACACACACACACACACACACACACACACACACACACACACACACAGGCTCTTTATTAAGTTCAGTGGCCTGGGAGTGCAGAATTAAGTGAATACTGGGAGGGAGTGAAGTGACTAAATAATAGTGTCTGTGGTACACAAAAGCACAGACGACAATAATACCAAGAATGCATGGAGGGCACTGGGTTCAGTGGGTTGCACACCTACACACAAACACAGAGGTTTTGGATTAACACAGGATAAATATTTTGATCCGGAGAAGGGCGTGTTGTGTAAACTAGTAATGCTTTAAAGACTCAATTGTGTGTTTCCTTTGACCTGGGAGCCGAGAACTGCTTAAAAGAACTATAATTATCATCAATAGGTTTAATCTGTTTTCCTCACATTTCAAAGCCTGATTATTCTCCTAAATGTGTGTTTCTTGCATCCATCTAGAATCCATGCTTTCCATTTAGATTAGCTACAAATAGACAAATGTATAGATAAACTGCTATGCTATCAATGCGGTCAAGTTTGTTGCTGTTGCTCTGTGAATGTTTCGGCCAACACGTAACAAGAATTGACAGTACAGATATGAAAACAATTAGTTTGAGCTCATTTTGACCGTTACTCATTCATATTTTGTCATTTGTTCGCTTTAAAACTTAAATAGGCACCCTCATGTCTGTGCGCTAAATACGAACCTACCACCATCTCCCAGATAGCTTAGCACTAACATGGGCAGCAAGCGCTAACAGAAGGTATCTAAAGTTTAAATGAACTTCTTGTTGGTTTAATCTGTGCACAAATATATCCTAGCTGTAGCTCCACATTTAGCACGAGTGGTATCGGTCATCTAACCTTACTCTCGGCGGGAAAGCAAATAATAGTATTCCTTTTTAAAACACTTATTTTTAAAACTGTAATATAAAAATGATCTGGTCTGTAAATCTTCTGATAATGTCCTTGATTGTCTTGGAACAAAGTGACATCATTTCTATCCCAAAAACGTATTGGAAATGATTAGAAAGGCAGTGATATGTCAAGTTAAGCAAACCAAACTCATTAGTCTACTGCTCATCCAGGCTATTTCAAATTACACTTGAGAGTCCATTTTCTTTTTAAAGAAACGAGCTCATAGGGCATTGTGTTTCCGGCATTAACTAGGCAAAGACATGCTATCTTGTCTGATGCAAGGTCGAGATATCTCAGCTCTGATGCTTTGAATTTGACCATTTTCTTTAATAGAACCCTTTAAGTTAGAGGAATTATTGAGGTGTCCAGATGAAGAACATGATATTTACATCTGTGAGAACCTCTGAGAGCTGCTTGAAAACGAGAAGCCACAAACTGCTCCCAGTCTGCAGGATCAAACTTTCACACACCCATTACTAGAGCCGAGAACCATGTGGGCCGAAACTGAGCCAGTGGATTTGTGGTGTGTGTTAAACATCGGGTCAAAGAATGGGTTTTGCAAAGCTGCACACTGCAGTTATGGCTGCTGCTGCTTCCCAGGCTCCTTCAGCCTTAACGTCCACATTACTCCTGCGCAGCTGAACTCACGAGATAGTGGTCTTTAACAGCAAGTGCATTTAAAAACACATTCACAACATACTGTACAGACAATATATCAAGGTATCTGATACCAAACACTCTTCTCTTTCCCAGCTCATCCTTGGAGCCACACGAGGATATCTGCAAGTTATTAGTGCCCCCTCATCCTGACCCTGCACAGCTTTCTCATGGGACTTTGTTGAGGTATGTCTTTTCGAATCTATCTCTGAGTTTCTTTGCATGGGAGTCGTGCAGTGTGTGTTTTTGTGATTATTACATTTTTCGTCAAAAAAAAAAGAATCTATATTATCGGTTTTATTATCGCTTCTGGCATACTGAGAAGAGTGTTTGTATTGCTTAATATCTCTCTCTCACTCACTCTCACACACACACACACACACACACACACACACACACACACACACACACACACACACACACAAATAATACTTGAGAAAGAGTAAACAAGAGAGATTGTTTTGTAATGCCTAATCTTTGTCCGACATGAGGGGTAACATTCAGTCAATAACCTTTGTGCACTTAGATATTACCACACTTTAAAAAAATGATTTAAATAAGTGTTTTCAGTCTCTTTGGTAAACGATCTTCAAACTTTGAGTGGCCAGTCACAAAATATGTATTTATCAGCAGCTAAAGTGCAATGAATGTCTTTATGTGTTAGGCCTGTAATGTAATATTAGACCTCTATAAGGCAAATAATGAAACCTAATAGAAAAATGTTTCACATATTTAAAAGTGTTCAGTTGTTAAGTTATTAAGGAGCCCTTTAGTAGCTACTTTTCCTGTTTTGTAGTTAATTCCAATAATTATTGCGAGGCACAGGATGGGAAACGTATCCTTGTTCAATCCCCTCTTTTCACCACTATATATGTTAGCTTAGCACTTCATTACCCATATTTAACAACTGTGCTAATCCATACAGCACGCTAAAAATCCTCAAACAACAAAAGAGGTCTTTCTCAGCTGAGGCAGCTACCGTGGCGAGAAAGGGGAAAAGGGCAGGGGAAAAAGGAAGCAAAAGGAAAGGGAGACAATAGGGAAGGATCAGGTGAGGAGGTGGAGCCACTGGAAATGTCGCCCAGTAAACTGGCTCATACCAATGTCAGTATAACTTAGAAATCCTCAATGCAACATTGTGCATTAGTCCCTTTGCACTGCTGCATGAATGTATCAAAAGTCAAGCTAACCCACTGCAGCTCAACAGTGCCCCCGAATGACAAAACACAGGCATAACCGGAACATTTGTATTATTTCTCGGCACCATTATTACAAACCATTGCACAGGTACAATTATGCCTTTAGTACTTGTTAATATACAGCTGCAAAAACATACAGGTATAGTAGTAAAAAATATAACATACAAATAAAAATTGACCTGGTTCTTAATCAAAAATCCTTCTTTTATGGGACAGCATGATTGAAAAAAGAATGGCTTTATGGCTCTAATCGTTATATAATCCCACCCTAACACTTAAAATCATATGTGGAAAAATAACAGTTTTGGTTGCAAAACCCCTGCAATACTGATAAAAACAATGTTTCAATATTAAAGCCCACTTAAAGGTTACGTTAGTCGACACAAAACAGGCCTCTCTTGATACAAAAAGTGCATTATGAACATGAGGAAATAAGTTATTCCCTTGGCAGGTGTTGACATATCGCATCACAAAAGGCGCAGTGAAGAAATCTTAACAAACGGAAAGCTCTGCCTGTTCACCTCTTTGGCATCAGTGTTGCTGGCTGGATTCTCTTGTTCTGGTAATCCTTGCATGATTAGTGCAGGATATGGATCTGGTTTGTTTGTAATGTCAGGTTTTTGGCAATTAATTTGTTGCAGAGAGGTCTTTTACAGAAAATACAAAAATGAACTGTGCTTTATGATTGATAAGCTTCAAATAGAAGACTCAGCAGGTTGTGTCTGCTATGCTGATCAAGTGCAAATATTTATCAGATAGAACATAAATTATTATATTATAATAAATCCTAAAAAGCTATTTTTGCTCTAAAACACTGTCCCCTACTTTTACTTTTAACTCATACATTTACTAACTTTTGGTCGGCCAATGGGCGGCTGTGGCTTATGAAGCTAAGTGGTCGTCCATCAATCAGGAGGTCTGATTGGTGTTGATCCCCAGCCCCTGCTGTCAACATGTAAAACTGTCCAATGGGCTGAGTTTTTGAACCCCAAATTGCTCTTCATGACATTGCCAATGGTGTGTGTGAATGTCTCACGAAGCCCCTGCCTCTGTATTATTGTGCGTATGCGACTTGTACATGAAAAATAATTTTGAAGGGTCACAAAGACATAGGATGATATATGCAGTCCATATACCATTTAGCATTTGGGCGACACAGTGCTATAAGAGTTGCACGTTGTTCTCTTTCTCTCAAAATAAATGTCTCATCCTACTCAGCAGTGGAAGGGAATTCAAATGCCAACTTAAATGCAGAACTGATCAGAAATCAGATTTTACATCCAATAAGTCATGGGCATCCTCCCAAGCTTTGACTCAGTTCTGGGATACGCTGATTCAGCCATCCGACACGCTCTCCGCCAAGGGGCTGGTGCTGTGGGCGGGGCTCCCCACCGTAGAACCGTAAGAGGGTATTTTAGATCCCTCTTGTGCGCTGGCAGGCGATTTGGGATCAAGCACTCTGGGGAGATAGACCTGCAATCAAAGAATACAAAAGAGAAAAGAGCTGAAATCAACAACGGGGTGTTTCTCAATATTCATTTGCAACATGCTCCCTGGTGTGTATGAGGAAAATAATGCACTCAAAGGCCAAAGTATAATTTTTTATAGAAAAGAATGTTGAAGATTAAGTAAGTAGGCAAACTAGGACATGTTTGAATAACTGCTAAAGTTCACTGCAACAATAGCTGATTGGGTCTTTAACATAAGGTTCAGAAATGACCTCAACAGCTCCGGTATGTTCACTTTGTTAATGAGTAACAAACCGTGGGGGTGGTGACAAATGGGTTTATAGAATTTACCAGCAAAAGCTCAGGTGGGTTAACTAAAGATCTGTCCTGCCCTAACATGTGGTCTTTGTATTCAGGCTGTGTGCTTTGTTTGGGAACAAGTACAGTACCATGGTGTTTTCTTCCACTCCTTTCTCTGTGTCCTCGTCCTCCTCTTTCACCTGCAGGAGAACATAAACAACATGAAGGCTCAGAGTGGAGGAGGACAAAGAGAGTAACAGCATACCAAATCAAACGCTCACCTCATAGTTGTGTGGACTGAGGTACTTGAAATTACCAAAGCAGGTGTAGCCGATGCAGATGAAGACGGTGATACACAGGACCACCAGAGTGAACAGAGCGGGGGGAGCCCAGAAACCTGAAACAACACACATATAGTTCAAAAACACACAGCCATTTTGCTTTGTGTGGCTGCATGCAAACACATACATGCATGTGATTATGTAGTAAGAAACAGTCCATATTGTGCTTTTGGGGTTTTTCCTTTCCTGTAGTTTGTTATATAGGTTTTTGTGCATGTAAATGGTCTGCAAAGGCTCATATCCCAAAGTTTCCTCCAGAGGAAGTTTCTCTCCCCCCCCCCCCCCCGTCCCCCCCCCCTCCTCCTCTAGCCCCTGTTTGAAACGCCTCCATTGTAATCCTTTGTTTACTTCCTTCACATCTCTATGTACAGTAACACTCTTGCTTCTATTGGCTGGCGCTCCAACACATTGTTCGTGACAGGCTAAGGGGCGGGAAATCTTAAATCAATTGACCAATCACAAGAGAGTCGGCCAGCTAACCAATCAGAGCAGACTGGGCTTTGGTTTCAGACAGAGGGTGAAAAGAGGAGCTGCAGCACAGGCAGTATGAGAAAAGAAAGAGCTTTTTGAACATTGAACATGAGGACCACAGATGGAATTAGCTATAATATACAACAACAAAAAAAACATGGAAACATGTCACAACATATGCAAGCCAACACACAGGAAGACCAGGAAATCCCTAGTTCTGCTAATTAAAATGACTGTTATAGTCACGGGGTCAGGTGGCTTTACAAAGAGCATAGATAATGACTTCAGTTCCCCTTGAGAAAGGACTGTCTTACGCCAAGGTAAAGATGTGAATATGTTCTTAATATAGCAAAGACTTAAAGGTGGGGTAGGTCATTTTGGAGAAACCAGCTCGAGTGCGGAAAAACTCTGCCACTTCCTTACAGAGCCCCTCCTCCAACACACATGAACGCGCACATGACCAATGAGGGCACGAGATAAGTTTGTGCACAGATGGAAGGCTGACAGGCAGGTAGGCCATCCAGTTATTTTAGCCGGGCCGGCTAAAATGATTGGCCGTGCTTTTTACAGCGCTACGGCTTCCACAGATGACATTTTTTATGGATTTTTTGTCAAAGCCCTTTTTTCATCACAATTCATTGCTATCGAGATGTTAAGAGCATTCCATGGAATATAACTAAAAGTGTATCTTGAGCCGGTTTCTCAAACTTACCTACCCCACCTATAAACTGATATTTTATATATATTATTTTAAGAAAGGCTTTTTCTCCAAACTGGGGCTGTGCCGACCACCATCAACTGTAGGAAATACACTGATTATAATAAGAGCAACCTCACTTTTAAATATCCAAAATACCCCTTTAAGGCCAAACATTTTAACACACCAACCAAGCTTTCTTACAGGATATTTGTGTTTCCATTTACATGTTTTTAATATCAGTCTCTTCATTGCCATGAGGGAATCTCAGGTCCCTTTACGGACGGTTACTTTCTCCAGGTTACGCCCACGTTTGTTTCTAACCTTGTCTGAGGACAGAAAAGAAGTAGAGCCATATCAGGCAGATGATGGGTGCAGCCAAGGCTTGATTGACAGCTCCCAGGTGCACCTGGCTGTCGAGGCGAGCAGGCAGGTAGGCAAAGTACATGTTGTGTTTGTCCACCAGGTGTTTCAGCATCATGTACAGGAGGCCTGAGGGGGGTGGGACACAGCACAGCCATTATAAACCGTACCCTGTAGCTGAAATAAACTGTACATTTATATGACTGGTTGTCATGCTGCTTGTGTACAACAACATAATGAATACTTACCAAAAGGGACAATAATAGGACATATGATGCTGTAAGCCATGATGACAGTGAAGACACACAGGCACCAGCCATACATGGCTCCATATTCAAACTCATAGGCCTGGTTCTGTAAATAGAAGGTAAAGAAGGTGGCTTGTTAATGTTGAAATGAAGCTGGGAATCAATTAAAACAAAACTACAAATGTAATATTGTCTTCTGTTAGCTTTTCATTTACTTGACTTAAACACAACTTTGTTTTAGGTGTAGCATTCCTTTCATTGAAATGCCTTTACAAACCTGTTTGACATATTTCCTTTCAGCAGCAGAGCGCGCAAACACCATGCGAATGATGTAAAGCAGTAACCCTGGCAACCGCAGCAAATCCATCCCAGAGCCCACTAGGGCCGCTGTGATGACGTAGTTGACAAAAAATGCCCCCTGGTCAGGTAGGAACACGCATCTGGTTATGGGTAAAAAACATCTCTGTTAAGATAACACCTGATATAAAAACACATGACGGCACATATTCCCTTTAAAATAACAACATCAAAACAAAATAACAACCACAACAAACAGCAACAACAAAACTAAAGCACAGCACAACTACAACCACAGGATTTTCAGCATGACACACAAAGCCGCCAGAGGATGTTTCATTGATGGTTACGCGATAGACTTGAGTGTGTGTTTGTAGTGCATGCAATGAACAAGTGGTGTTTTTACAGCTTGTGGTAAAGTATGAGACACGTACAAATGATCGAGTGCATGTACACGCACACAGTTTGTCACTATTTGATTTTAAATGTACAAGAAACAAAAAAAAAAGGATTACTTACTCAAACCTCAGTTTCCCATCAGCGAGAAACTTCTTATCAAACAGCCAGCGGAAGAACACCGCAAGGCTAAAGGAGAAAGAGAAAGATATTGCTAAATGTTAGGCCATGTTCTCCCTACGGCAAACATGGTTTCACTTATTATTAGTTGATCAATTAAAAAGTTAGTGTCAAACATTTTAAAAGTAATCTTTCATTCAAATGGCAGAAATTGCTGTTTTCAGTCACTGAAATATGGAGGTTTCCTTTCATACTAAAAACAGAATACCTTTTAGGTTATGGATTGACAAAACTGGATGTTTAAAGATATCACTTTAGACTTTTTGATTAGACTTGCATGGACATTTTTCAATGTATTATGACATTTTGTAGACAAAATGTGTATTCTATAATCAAAATAATTACAGTTTGGAGCCTCCCTCATGTAATCCAAGTTCCCCATTTATCATTGTTTATACCAAAAACTGATTGCTATATTAGACGACAACTAAATCACTTCTTCCCCTAGATAAGGGGTGTCCAAACTTTGTTCACTGAGGGCCACATACAGAAAAATATACAAACGGCTGGGCCGCTCACTAGAGGTGAGGTGTAATGCCTCATAAGTTAGCAAAATTAATCAAATGTAGGTCATTTATGCTTAATACTTGAATATAACAGCCTATATCACAGCTCTCCAAAAGGTTTCATTGATTTACTTAAAAACAGGAGCCTCAGATTGCTTATCATAAGAGGCAATAGGAAGGGTTAGATTTGATAGAAAATGTTTCAACTTTAATTGACTGAATTTGTTTGAAAAAGTGAGCTTCTTAGAACATGAATACTGTGTAATATCTGTTTTCATCTATATTTAAGAAGTACAATACAAGACAAGCACAAGTTTCATTTGTGGGCCATACTCCATTATACTTTTTGAATTTGCTGAGGGCCGATTCAAAATGGCCGTAGTTTGGACACCCCTGCCCTAGTTGAAGGAAGTGATGTTGATTACCTTGTGAGCCCCAGCGAGGGGAGGATCAGCACCATGAAGAGCAGGAAGAAGTAAAGCTTACGCATCATACTCAGCTGCTCACTGGACCTGAGACACAGATGGCACACGATCAAAACTGTTGTTACAGAAAAACACAATGTCCTCAGCTAAGAGAAACAAATCATTGTGTGTGTGTGTGTGTTTAATACCTGCTCCAGTGTGCCTCTCCTATTGTAGAATAGTAAACTATGGTAGGCAGCAGGGCAGAGAAGGACCACAGCAGCAGAGTGGGGAAGAACTGACTGATGATGGGACTCTGGGGAGAAAAAACAAAACAAACTAGGTTCATAGTTTTAAAGCAGAAGTATGTCACGGAGGCGTGTCTGCATGTGTAGGACTCACATTGAGATAGTAGATGGGCATCGTCACGTTGAACTTGTCCATGGTGCTGATGATGATGGTGGGAGTCGTGAGGAAGGTGAGCAGGAAGAAAAGGAGGAAGTTGAGCATCAAGTAGCGCATGTACCAGTGGAAACCACGCAGTGACAGATTCTCCCTGAATGATGGGGAAAGAGTAAACAGAAACAACGTGACTGTTAAACACAAAGTTGCAAAAACATTAGTGTGGGTTGAACGGTTAACAGCCGATACAGTGATACCAATTATCTTGCTCTACTTCAAAAGGTCAAATGTAGTTATTTTTGTCAACATTACCACATAACTTAGGTTGCTATTTTCCACAGTTGAGTTGGGAAGTCGTTCATTTGACTTTGGTGTGTTCATGAGCTTCTAAGAAAACCCGTCAATAGCTGTTTCTGAGTTTTTGTTCTAACTTGTTCTGACCCAGTATGGAAATATTTTTCAGAATGTTCTGACAACACACGAATGCAATGATAACAAATGTAGGGACTGCAGATGAAAAATTAGCTAATAACTAAATCTGGGAGACATTATTTATTTTTCTTGTATTAATGTTATGTATGCACACTCTTTGTTTAATAAAGACTCATTATTTAATGTTAAACATAATTTGAATATCATGCTAGGATACAGATCCACACAAATGTTAATAGGTTCTTCTTCATCCCATGCCAAGTTGAAACTCAAGCAAAAGTAGATCACTTTAATAACGTTAAAGGTCTAACAGTGAATGCATTTTGTTGCACTTTAATGAGTTACATCAGACCAACAAATAAAACTTTGAATACATATTTGATTATATTATAATTGGAATCACCAAAATGTAATTACACCATGTGATGGCACTAAAAGTCAAATTACGACAATATTTAATTATTGCCCAGCCCTATCGGCACCAGTTGTATAGAAACCAAGTCATGTGATTTTCATGGAGCACACACTGTGTTTCAGGTCTCACCAGAACACATTTTTGGGATGGGGTGCAAAGCTGACGCTCCACTTGTTCACTTTCAGAGTTGAGCTCTCGGATGACGGCTGGGGCGTCCTCCCGCAGAGGAAGCCTGTGCCCCCACACTCCAGAGCGTTGAAGTCCTTCAGGATGCTGGAGTGAGTGAAAGACAACTGTTAGTGATGCACTTTGATACACAACAATACATCTGCTTCCAATAAAGAGTCACGTGACAATAAAATCGAGATATCAAAAAACATCGGAGAAACAATTACAGTTAGCTGACATAATACTGCCATGCCAGCCGTAAACTGTAGAAATAAAAAGGGAACTTTATTGTCAATCTTTCAGTTTGTGTGTACAGACAGAGATCAAAATACCGTTTCCCACAATCCAGAGGAATACATATACAGTATATACACACAATCAACAGACACATATTATACATTTGATAGAGTTGGATTAACTAAAACTATTTTACCAAAGGTAGAAGTAGTACCTCTGGCAGTACAGTTGTTTCCTCCTCCCTCACAGTAAATACAGAGGCAGTATTGACAGATGAAGAAACCTTTAATCTGGTACTCACTATTTGGCCATAGCCTCGGTCTGCAAGGTGACGAAGGCCATCCCCAGGGGGCGCTGTGGCACCAGCTCCGTCTGCTTCCTCACCTCCTCCAGCAGGTCTTTTTCTTGAGTTCTGTAGAACTCTATGGCATCAACCTGATCTCACACACACACACACACACACACACACACACACACACACACACACACACACACACACACACACACACACACACACACACACACACACACACACACACACACACATACAGGCTTTACTTGAAACAACCTTTATTTGTATCTTATGAACTACTTAGCATGTTTGCTTTATTCACTTTCATTGTAAATAAATAAAAAACATTTTCGCTGTATAGTTTTTAAGCTTTGAAGTCAGAGAAAACCATGTATATATGCAGTATTGCTTTAATTTGATCAACCTATTTTTGAACATAGAAAACAAAAGCATCTTCACACCCTGTTCTAACCCGTGTAGTCCCTGCTCCATCTCACCTTCTCAGAGCTGGCGCAGCAACAGAGGTGACCGCACAAACGGGGGTTAATCAACTCAAGTTCCCCTGTTTTCTCCAGGACACGCTCGTAGTAGCGCAGGTTTTTTCCAGCTCGCTCCCTGAGGACGAATAAAAATACAAGTTGCAATACAAGTTGATTAAACTGGGTAAAAATAAAGCTGAAGTTAATATCCCCTCAGTATTCCACACATGAACATGTTTGCAACGATTCCTTCTGCAGACAAGCGTACAACATCTGAAACCAATTTAATATTGTAAGGTAAGGTATTGTTGATTTGAAATAATGAGCTATAACACTAATGAGGTCACTAAAGCTGCTCCGTTAGGTTGAAATTATCTTTGTGGATATTATCAATGCACAGACTAATATAAAAAATAGGATACAGTGATAAAAGGGAAAATATTTGTAATTTTATTGATTGTTTCTTGTGTTTTCTTACTTTTCTTTATCCAGGTGCATGAGCTTGGCCACGTTATAGCCCAGGGTCACAGCACACACTCGACAGGAAGGGTACGCCTCTCTGTGCAAAAACAGCGTGGATATTGAGAAATCGAGCTTGAAAATGTGACTTTACCAACTTAGGAAACTGTAAATCGCATCAATGCAGTGAACTTACATGAAATGGGTCTTTACAGATTCCTCTGTCGCCGTTTTAGAGACTGAACACACAAACAAAGTGTCTCTCGCCTAGAAACGAAACAGAAATGAAGACTAGTCAGGTAGCAGCACGGCTGAGCCACAGCATTTAAACTCTGTCATCTGACTTTTATTATAGAAATAGAAATCCTTTAGTCATCCCTCAGCACGTGAACGTGCATGTTACAGTGAAGGGACAGTGCAGACTAAAGTTAACATGAGTGAAGAAGTAGAGTAATATATTCAATAAAGAGGCAAAAACACATAAAATAATTAATCATATAAGTAAACATCCATGGTAAAAAAAACAAGTAGAAGTAAGTGAACATATGGAACATTAATATTAATAGAGTATACAAAGTGAATATTGCCCACAGAGATGTTACACTGAGTACTGAAGCATCATCCAGTAAACACATTGGTAAATAGTATAAATTATATAGCGCACATAGTATTGTTGTTACAATATCCTCAAGTCAGTAATGTGGACACTGTCAGAGCGATTTCCTAAGGACCTTAAATCTAGTGAGAGACTCACCGTCTCTCTGCGCATGCCCTTCATCTGTGACGTGTGATGCCGCAGCATAACAACAGTCAGGATCAGGTACAGAACTGCAAACACTGTATGCAGCCATAACATGTTGCTTCTACAAGCAGAAGGTAAAATGACAGTCATCAGTAAGTATTTAGTCATGACCAACCCAAAAAACTGTATTCTAATACAAACTTTTGTTTATATATTAAAAAATGTTTTAATACAGTAGTTACCCCATTTGGATATTTCCCACCGTTGTCCTTCCAAAACTCTCTGGATCATTACCTGACAGAAAGAAAGAGCATTTTAATAAACAAGAGTCCTACTAGTACACATGTAAATATGAACACAACTGAAAAAGATACACAAGCAGCCTGCATTTCACACAAAAATAAATAAACCACACAGTTTTGGGACTTTGAGTCACTGATTATAATATGAGATAAGTCTTAGTAATGAGTCATAGCTTCAAAAGTAATAACATTGAAGAACAGGATGGGAAAGGGTTCACAAAAGGAGAATAATAATAATTAATAAGTAATTGTAATATATTTAAATTAAAGGTGTTTAAATGTATGCAGATATGGATAATTATAATTATGTTAAGTATATAAACATGTCCATTTAGAAATATGATTCCAGTGTAGGTACGTTATGATACAAAAACTAAAAGTGCAGGTTAAACGTTTTTATGAGGAAAGTAAAGCCTTATTGTTTTGAAAATGGTCAGTGCAGATTCTAAATTAGACCCAATTGAATTACATTTGAAGCCATCATAAATGCACACCTGACCCATACACTTATATGTGTTTTCTATAGTTTTAGCCATTAAGAGACAGGAGAAAAAAGTGCAAAACGCACCCAGCAGGTCTCCCGTCATGTTGACAGGCAGTATGATTGAGAGCGAGGTGATGGTTAAGACGATCAGCAGGACGATCAGATGACGCTGGAAGGACAGGTAGTGAACAGCATCCATGCCACACCTGGCTTTTATTTTTCCCTCGCTGAAACACACCAACACACACTGATTAGAAAGCACCAACACATGGATTATATACAAACAATCAATATAGCTTTGGTTTAGCCCCAATATCAGTAATATTGAGCAAATGTCACTCACTCCATTCTGAGGATGAAAGGCAGCCAAGAGCAAAATCCCTAAAACAGAAAATAGTACATACGGTGAAATATACATTAATGAAGGATAGTCCGAGTTATTTATTGTTAAGGTTTCAAATGATTAAAAAGGCGATATTATGCTAGTTTTCAGGTTCATATTTGTATTTTGTGTCTCTACTATGACATGTTTACGTGCTTTAATGTTCAAAAAGTGCTTTATGTTTCTTATCAAGCCTGTGCTGCAGCAGCTCTTTTCACCCTCTGTGTGAAACCAGAGTTCGCTGGCCTGTCTGTCACAAAAACCAATATACCACACTACAGGGAAGGGAAAACCCCTAAAGAATAATAGGGCCCCTTTAAAAAACAATGTCTTCTTTTACATACCAATTCATACTCAGGGTCATCCGTATTGGACGCTACGGAAGACTTGTGTCCATAGCGCCGGTGTGTTGACTCTGTGAACCTGATACACAAAGTAGATAGTTAAGGAACAAATCATTTTCATCTTTCACTATTCTGGACAGTATTGCACATTGAAAACCATGAACCGACCCTTCGTCTGTAAATAATGCCAGACGCCCGTAGTCCCAGAACTTCCTCCTGATAATAGAGAAGACCATCAGCAACACCTGTGGGTCACATGAGAAATAGAACCAATCAGCTTTAAACTCATGACAATGGGTAATAACTTATATAGATAACACAAATAAAGCAGGGGTTGGTTAAGGAAAGTATGGATTTAATCAGTTGATGTACATCTTAATGGGAAGGAATGTTGTTCTGTATTTTTTACGTTAAAATAAAGAAATATTTGGAGAAAATACAAGGCACTTTGTTTGGGATTGCCTCAGAATGATTTCTAGTCTTTCCTCTCTTGATTAAATAACAGGCAGACACACAGTTAATTAGTGGACGTACCAGAAAGACACAGAAATCGAGCAGCAGCACGATTGGCACTCCTCCAAAGCCGACTCCCTTTAGCACGGTGCTCTGTGTGGCGCTGAAGCAGCTCCCGTTGTCCGGGAAGCCGGCGGGAGTCGTGCCATTGGAGTCCGACAGGGGCCACCACAGGGCAGACATCACTGCAGCAGACCAGCTTCTCTGCACACATTGATCATACATTGAGAAACTTCCTCCAAGAGACAAAAGCTGCTAGTCACAGTGATAAGAAAAAAATAAGAACTGCAAGTAACAACACTTTTCTTTGTTTTATTGATTCATTGTTGATACGTCTGAAGATAACCTACTGAAAGATGCAGGACACAGTCTTTATACCCACCTACAGTACAAAACCCTACAAATAATTATTTAATATTAAGAAAATGTCAAATCCTCACATGTTAAAACAAGCAAATATTTGACATTTTTGCTCGAAAAATGAAAAAAGCCACACATTTGCATTTCCTTCAACACTTCAGACTCAATAGCACAGCAAAACAAGAGTGTAGTTACCGGTTATTGCGATTATCAATTATTTTCCCTTTAAAGATATTAAGAACATCAAAATATTTAAAAAAATGTCTTGTCACAGTTTCCCATAGTCCAGGTTGTTGTATCCAGTTGCTAAAGATAATACATCGTCATTGATAATAACAAAAGAGAAATTATGCAATTCTCCCCAAAAAAAAGAAAGAATAAAATGGACATTTAAGGTCCTGTAACCAGAGAATATTTTACATTTTTACTTAAATGATTATTCGATTATCAACCTTTTCTGTCCATTCACTGATGGATGAATTATCTAATAATTACAGCTCTACACAGAAGAGACCTTGTCCTATCAGGGTTGGCCTAACAAGAGGATGCAGCTGTTCATCCAAACAACTAAGCTGCTTTCAACTTCTTTAAATTAAGTTGTGTTCCTGCAATTAAAGATGAAATCAGATGACACCCATGCACACCATGCATACTGCAGGCCAGCTAAAGGAGGAGGACGCATAAAAATCATGTGGTGTTTTATTTGGTTGCAAGGATAAGAGATAAGATGGTTTCCTGTGCTGTCGGAAATGTCAGATCTTTCAGTAAAAGTAGCAAAATGATATTGATTTATTTTCATTGTACAGCTAAATGACCCCTTCATAAAAGAAAAAAGAAAGAGCTTTGTTTGTAGCTTGGAGAGCCGAAGCTAGTTATAACCACTACATATACTGTTGGATATCTTATTCTATAACCTTATATTTGACACATGTACCATTAGGGCCAGTTCAGTTCAAAACCCAAATAAATTAAGTTTAATGATTGAAACAGAGAAAATACTTCTTTTTTTTTTTAAACTGACAACACTATTATCTGCCATATTTGAATGAAAAATAACTTTCAGAATCGGTTTTATTACCAAGTAGGTTTACACATACGAGGAATTTTCTTTGGTATATGTGGTATATATTATATTATATTATATATTTTATATTATATAAAACCAATAAAACCAATACTAATACAATTGTTTGGCAATCGCCATATTATTGTTGCAGCTGACCACCTGTGTTGTAAATTCTATGTATTCAAAGAAACGAGCAAATGTAGTGGATTAAATAGTAGCATACAATATTTTTCATCTGAATGTATTACAGTAAACACAGTAACATATTGGAAATACTGAAAAGTGTACTTAAGTGGGCCTACTAATACTTCAACCACTAATACTACCACTTTTAAGTAAATAGTTGCATTACACTGCTTGCTTGGTTACTTTAAGGAGCTTTGTAAATCCTGGAGGGCAAGTGGATATCAACATAATTACGACTGTGGTTACATTTGACTATGTCTAAACTTGGAATAAGGGGTTTGTCATGGTGAACCGTGCCTTTGCCGAAACTAAAAGTAAAATAGTCTTTGAGGTTTCAGAAGTGTCACATCGTCACAACACAGCCTGCCTTCCTCACTGAGCTCGGCCACGCTCAGTCACGCGGGGGTGGTTAAAGTTATAATGTATGTAACCGCTGAGCTTTTTTCTGTAAACCCTGACTCTAAATGTGACAAAAAAGCATAACTCAAAAGAGAACTCCTGTAGCAGTAATCTTCTAAATTTGACTGGAGGCATTTTTTCCCAACAGATGTTTTCTTTTTATGACATTTTGAGTGAACGTTCAGCATCAGAACAAGCGCGGTTCCTTTAATGACACTTGGTGGACTGGCCACCCTTGAAGTTAAACAAATATCATGTTGTGTTCAAGGAACACGTTTTTAAATCAACAGGTACAGAAGCTACAGGGTAGACGAAGAGTTGCTAATGCTACTATGATGTAAGCAAAAGTTTTGGCTATGTCAACGTCCGTGAACTAACTATATTTACATGCCTGATAGTAGCACTCGCTCCCATGTTGACAACAAAAAAAGGTATTTGTAAGTAACTCTGTCCTACCTGTATGTTCGTCTTTTATTCCTCACTGAAGGAAAGTTTTCTCCACAGTTAACTTGAAATATGTAAACGTCTCCGCTCCTTCCCCTTTATGTCCCACGCATGCGCAGACGCTGCAGCAGAGCAGTATGCTGTCTCGTGCTCAGTTCCAACCAGTCCTCAAGCCTTTACAGAAGGGACCCTCCCTTCTTACTCTTGTAAAAATAATTTACAATGACTTACATAAGTACAATTCCTGAAGTAAAATAGTCTAACAGCAGCATAATGTATTTAAGTGTTAGCCTACAAAAAGAGCTGGAAGAAGTGAGCTGTTTCACTTCAGTAAAAAAATAGCTGAACCACTCAATGAAAGTGCCCCATAATAAAACCAATGTTTGTTTTGTTTTCATAATTTTAATTTTGCACGAAAGCAAAATGTAGCCTACTTAACTTATTGAAAGTATAACAGGTACTTTACAGTAGCCCTTATTGTGCAGAATGGGCCCTGTGTTAAATTATTGTATTAATCTTATTACTGATGCATTACTGTGTAAGCAACACTTTCATTTTTACTAAAAGTTACCAAGTTAAAGGTAGGGTAGGTAAGAATGGAGAAACCAGCTCGAGTGCGCTAGAATTTGAAACTACTAAATATCTGCCCCTTCCTCAGACTTCCCTACAGAGCCCCTCCTTCAACACACACACACAGATGGAAGGCTGACAGGCAGGTAGGCCATCCAGTTATTTTAGCGCCACGGCTTCCACAGATCACATTTTTTTAATGTATTTATTGTCAAAGCATTTAATATATTCATTGCTATCGGGATGTTAAGAGCATTCATATAACAAAAAGTGTTTCTGAAGTGAATTACCCCACCTTTAAGTTAACTGGACACGAGATAACAAGCTCTGTAAAAAGTAAGGTCGAATCAATAACAGTACAGGCTGACAAAACAGTGAGATTAATGTTAATTTAACTTAAAATGTTAAAGTTTGACACAAAAAAGGGATCATGCAGAGTTAATACAAAGGCAGGCTGATCCCTGTGGCTGTACCAATACATGTCAACATTTTACTTTCCACACAGAACAGTATCACTTTATGTAAGAGGGTACCAATTCCCCCAGTATATTTTAGATGAAAAGCTGAGCTAAATACTGTGTCTGATAGCTTTATATTTACCTTACCACATAATAGTAGCATCAATCTTCACATCTATCTGTCTTTTTAACATAACTGGTGGTGTATTTTGGATAATTGTTGCATTTTCCTGATGCATAAAGATAAAGACCTCCTGTCATGCCATTCCAACAAGATGCAGTACTCTGCAATAATTGCATTACCATTTTGAATTATTATAGATTATCAGTTTTTTTTGTTTAAATATATGTTTTGATTGAGAATAAAGAGTGTCTCTGTAGGGGTTCAGATCTTTTTACATAAATCTTAGGCACGGAAAGATAATTATAAGTATTGAAAATTCCGAATACAATAGAAGTCCTCTAAAATGAATATCTTCTTCTGTACTCTTAAAATCACACTGTAATTGCCTTGTGAATGCGGAAAAAGTCAATGGAACGTGGTGACTTATTATCTGTTAGCTATATTTAGCACTCAATAGAAGACTCCCTTCTTTGGTATTCTTTGTTAAAATGAAGCTGATGTTGAGTCATAGCGATTGTGAAATAATTTGAAAATGTTTCTCTTCATTATTTTGCAATTCTGAATCACAAAATGAGTGGACGTTTTTTTGGCGCTCAATTTTCTTGTTCCTCTTTGGCTATAAAAATGAAAGAGGAAAAAGGCCATTTTGTAAAGGTCAATGACATAGAAGGTCAAGCAGAAAACGCAGATGATTTTACATTCTCACAGTGTTGGAGAAATGGCTAATGTTAACACAGTGTACACAACACACGGCCACTCCTTCTGTAACTCTATATTCCTCTCAGTGATCCCTCCCAAAGACAGTGACACTCACTGTCATAAATGAAAACCAAAGCAGATTGGTGTGTGTTCTCCAGCAGCTATGCTCTTTGTGACATTTCCCATCTTCTTTGATTGGTCAGTGCTTTTCCTTTACTGATATTTGAAGTATTTAGCATACCATCAGACACAGTGGAGTGAATCCCAATTGTTCCACATTTGAGACATCATAGAAGAGGTGTTGTGGTGGTTTGTAGGACAGAGCATCGCTAACCAATGTCACGGGGCCTGCTATCAGATGTGCCACTGGTCAAATTAACGAATCCAATGCAATTAGTCATTCAATTTACTGTGAGATTCTGTGGTTGAGCGTGTCTCTCTGCCTCGATCCCTCCCTGCCTCTTTTCTCTGGATTTGCCATTATAGGATTTTCTGTTTATCTGTTGTGGTTTTGACTGTTCATTTCTGCTTCCCATGTCTTGCTGTGTTTATTTGTGTGTGTTTCTCGTCTGTGTGCAAACAGTTGTGTCTGTGTTGTGTACACCAACATCAACCTATTGTGTGTGTATGTGTGACAGTGTGTGTGTAGTGACTGTTCATGCCTCACTGTGGGACGCGTTGATTAGCGCTCACTGCGGCTCAGCTCCCAGCTGTCCTTGCGGCTGTCTGCTGATTGAAACCAATCAGGCTTGCGATGGCCCCATCGCGGTGACCCCTCACCCCTCCCACCCCCGGCCTAATCACCTGCTGATTGGCCCACGCAGGGCCCCCTCCCGTTGGCACGGAAGGTTAATTTGACCGGTGGATGAAGGCTCCAGGAGGGAATAGGAACGTGCGCTGGGTGATATTGCATGGATATAGCCCACCTGTCAATCACAGCCACTTAAAGGGGAGCAGCTAGGGAAACACTGACAACCAGAAAGAGTTGGTAGAAAGGGAAGGAAATAAGGAATGGCAGTTTTAGTCTAAAAACAATTTAGAGTAAGTTTATCTTTGGAAGCAGATTTATGTTGTAACGTTAAAACACCCTCACTCAAGATCTACTTACTTTCATTTTTGGAGCATCAGACTTCATCATTATATAGCCCTTTATGGTTTTCTCATTAACAGAAGTAGAATCGTGGAAGTAAACATAAATGATAACAACCGAGAAACCATCCTCTATGAAAGACCACAAGAAAACAAATACGGAAACTCTTGACAAAGGTAGTTCTCACTGTATACTGTAGAATAAGCATCATGATGGTTTTGTTGTAATCTGTGTACCATTTAATTTGTAACATTACTCACAGCCCCACGGATACATTAAATCATCTTTATTTTTTGTCGATATTTAAAAGTGGTGACATTAAAATGAACCTATGTAACCCAGTAGATTTGAAAATAATATGATCACATAGACAATATTACAATGACTGGTAACAACAAATACCCTGAGTGAAGACCCTTAAATAACAAGTCTATTATAAATTAATGACATTTTTATGCAAGGAGTTTTTACATAGTAATACTTTTGTATAATATAATGCTTTTAATTGAAAACTCATGGCCATTCAAGTATATACAGTCACCAGATCTAATTTATAAATCTAAATTGTACAATGTGCACTATAGATACTGCAGTGTAGAGGTTCATCCAGAGGGTGGCAGTGTTGTATTCAATGTCAAAAGTTGCATCCTGTGTGATAGAAGGTATATTAATAGTCCCCTGCTTTATGGTCAACTTCTTTATTTTGATGCTGGGAATCTGAGTGTATTTAAGACTTTTCCTACAAAATACTCACTCTATATATTTATTAATATTCATGAATATGTATTAGAACTTAAAGTGTAATTATTGACCTTGAAAAAGTAGCTTAATACAATTATTTTTAACTCAATGTCCACTGACTATTTTCTATCTTAAGGTAGCTCATTAGTGAATGGACTTTTCATAGTTTTTATCAGAAGTGATTGGGTTTGAGAACTAAAACTAATCTATTAAATGGGCCTTGAGTTTAATCATACTTTTCTTTAAAAAAATTTGGATGTTCTTCCCAATGCATATAATTTTAAGTTTTGAAAACTAATGCGCCTCAAAATATATATAAGAGTTTTCTGCTAAATTGTGTTTGTAATCGGCCAAAGACACTTCCCCTGAACATCAATATTGTGACAACCACACGCCCCTTCCCCCACTCTGGTCTTATTCTCCCCAGCCATGTCAGTCCATATATTTCACTTTATCCCTGTGTGTGTGTGTGTGTGTGTGTGTGTGTGTGTGTGTGTGTGTGTGTGTGTGTGTGTGTGTGTGTGTGTGTGTGTGTGTGTGCAGTTTGTGGCAGGTTCTTCTCGCTCTTAGTCTCTGGTGGGCAGAATAATGTTGCCAGATTACCATAGCATTACCATATCATTTCCATTTCATTATCACACTTCTGCCTGTGCTGTGTGTGTGTGTGTGTGTGTGTGCGTGTGTGTGCCTGTGCGTGTGTTTGGGTGTGCGTGTGGGTGTGTGCGCGTGTCTGAACTTTGCATCAGATCTTCAACTGTTTCTCTTTGTGATGTGCTCAAACACACATGTTCCCACACCCACATACACACATGGTTAGATACACGCGTACACACACCCAATCCCCCACAGGAATACACACATCCCTCTGACACGCTCCCTCTGTTTCTCCCTGTCACAGACTCTATCTCTCTATCTCTGTTCCACACCCATGTAAGCACATCATAATTCTCAATAATCTGTCATTCATGATCCCTGTTTGCTTATTTGTCTGTGCTAATCTAATGCCAATTAATGTTAACCTGTTCAAGTTATGGCAACAATTGCTGTATTTAGGAGCTGTAATAGCAATTTTTCTAATATATATATTTTGTTTTTTTTACATTTCTGCATTTTAGCTTTCTTATTGTTATAACTGTATGTAACTCAACTCACTTGAGAAAATTAATCTACATATTTATTTTAAGTAGTTTTTAAAGAAATCTTTTTTTTTTCTGTCATCAAATTATTTGGTTCTTGCTTTCTAAAATATGAATTGTTGCCAGTTCTGCCAACCCTCTGTCACTGCAGTTTGAATAATTTGGATTTTAAACTGTAGGAAAAAAAACAAGGAAATAAGAGACCTCAATTTGGCAAGTTTTGATTGATGAGCATTTTAACCATTACTTTAAAATGTAATAGACCAGTTGATT